GTAGGTGTGCAAACTTCCACAAGCAAGCATTTCACAACATTATCCACGATGAAGACAATCATTCATATGCGAAGGGAAATGTGATTGACGTGCACAAGGTTCTTTGACGACGATGGAGTAGTGGAAAAAGGTGATGTGGGAGAGGCAAATGGCCTGCTTGAGTGAGAGTGCGATAAGGTTGGAGAAGAGAAAGGAGCTAAAGGAGTAAATGTAAATAGTAATGAGGTTCTTTGCAATGGCAAAGGGAGCGCATGTTGGATCGAAATCGAAATTGTTTTGCAAATCTTTAGGGTTCCACGTTAGGCCTATAAAGCTAGTAAGAGTGAAAATCGAGTTCATGTTCACTATCGCGTCTAACGTTGACACTTCCTATACAGATTGAGAAATCGATATAGAAAGTCCACTTTCTATACCAATTCTGGAATCATTATAGAAATTGAAAACTTTTTGCGCCTTTATTTGTACTGATTCTAGAACCAATATAGAAAGTTGTTTTTAACTTGCGTAAAAAGGGTCCTCCTACATTAGTTAAGAGGAAAATTACTTAGAAATGTGAGTGAATTTCTTAAATATAAAGCAAGCTAAACAATTAGAAAAAACAAAAGAAGTATCTAGCAAAAGAAAAAAAAAGAATTATACAATTAAAGACCAAATATATATATATATATATATATATATATATATATATATATAATAAATTGTAGATACTTTATTAATTTAAAATGGAGGAGATAGGTATTAAGAAAAATATAAGAACAAGGGCTGGATAGAAATGTATGTATTCATCTTCGATCCTATACTCAATTTAAAAAATTAAGTATTATCTATACCTATACCCGATTAATAAAGATATTATTTGTCAAAATAGAAACAAGTTTGGATAATATTTACAATAATGAATTTATTTGTCATATAAAAGTGTGTATGAAAGATTATTTTATACTTAAAAATGAATACAAATCCTTTAAATCACTACTTTACATATAATAAACTTCTATTCCTTAGTGTAGTATAAAAGTTTTTAAACAACAATACTTAATCTTAAAAGTGTTTTTATTTTTTTTTCTATTTTTTTAAACACATTCAACTTCTCACGTATTACTTTTACACTAATATCTTAAAATTAATTTTAATATCTAAAATTTGATGTTAAAATTTATTTTTATTTTAAAAAAATAGTTTAATTCTTAAACTTTAAAAATAAATAAATAGTTCTTTTAATTTAATTATATTAATTTTGTAACATTCCAAAAATACAGTATAAAACCATATAATAGAATAATCACATTAATAATACTACAGATCAGTTCTACACATAACGAGGTACTATTATGGCCAAAAGACCTTACATAATAGCAGGGAATTAAAAACCGCACACTGGCTACAACTAGACCGAACGGTTTACAAAATAAACTTATACCGAACGATCTTACAAAAGATGGAGCCAACAACTGACCGAACGGTCCTAAGGTTCAGTCTTTACTTCCACCTCTTCCAATGCTTCTTCCAGCAGCTCTTCTCCTTCTGCTCACATCCACACGGATTATCATTGCAACAGGAACGAAGACAACAAAACAGACAAAACGAACAAGACGAAAAAGGGGTAAGCTTATGTAATTTAATCCATGTAGTAACATATTCAGATCACATAAGTGTTATATCAATCAATTTCACAAAATCAATCATTCATTATTACATGCAATAAACCAACGTTTGACTCTGACCGTCCGGACTGTATGAATTATGTGTAGCTACGACGTTTGTGCACCTGGGTGATGTAGTAACTGGGATACCCTCAACAGCTGCCACCCGAGGTTAATCTGTTCCGTCCAAGATTACCTTATGGACTAGGACCTCCTGCCATTCTCACACATGACTTACCCCTCTCTACTTGAGAATGAGTAATCATAGAATATCAGGATAAACACCAGCTAAACATAACCACATTCATCCTTTACCATTCCAATACCAAATCATGAGATATTCCTCTCTAGAATACTCTTTTCATATCCATATTACTCAATTCATATCACATTCCATCATATTTCATTATCAAAACATCTAACCAAACCAATTGGAACAGAAACTCATGTGACACCGAACACTGAATCCATACTCTCAACCCAAGGACAAGACCGAACACTTGGAGTGAGACCGAGAGATCTTCAACTCATAAACAGATCAAAACTGAAAGAGTTATTATCAGAGTTATGAAAGAAACCGAAAGGAATAACGCTCTATAGTAAATAACAGAGCCGAACGCTATTTACTAGGTAAACCATTTCATTGAACTAACTCCTGAGAGTTCAAACCGAACGCCAGAAGCCTAGGCCGAGTACTAAGACTCTAGGCCGAATCTCATTTAGAGACCGTTACTGTTTGACACCAAATACTAACAACTGACGAGATACTATGAAGAAACCGAACACTATTTATACTTAGCTTTTGGCATGAGACTAACATTAAAGAGACCGAGTGCTAGTCTAAGACCGAACACTGTAGAAACCGAATGCTATTGAGTTTGGCCGAACGCTCTTCTTAAAAAAAATGGTAATGATAGATTATTGGGATAAGACCGAGCGCTTGATTTAAGACCGAGCACCACTTAGACCGAGTGCCAGGTTTATGACCGAGCACTACAGAACTTAGTCAATGAAAGAATATATTCTAATTATAATTAGATGAGACTTATTTTCAACAAGGATAAATATCATATTTAAGAATTTAGGTATTATTGAATATCTTAAAGAAGCTATTTTAAGGAGTGCAAAAGAGATAATATACGTAGACCGAACACTTTATTTACAAGTATACTAAGATAAACCGATCGGTCATCGACTGATTCTTCCTAAAGAAAGAATCCAGTCCAGACCGAATGCTCAAAGGGAAACCGAACGGTCAATGATGACTTTCGGTTACAGTTTACATAATTATGCAGACTATTACAGAATCACTCTCAAACCTTATTCCTACCTATTTCATAGCTTTCATTAATCTTTAAATACTTTTAAACAACATACAATACTTCACCATCAACCAAATCATCAAACACAATATCATTCCAGTTTCTCATCTTTTATATTCATATACTCATACAACCAACAATGCAGTAACAACCATACTTCATATTCATTCAATCAATCAAACAACATGAAATCATTAAAACAAGAATCTTAATCAAATTATATAAGCTTCTCTTACCTCTTAAAGTGACCGAACGCTTAATAATGCAGGATACTAGTTTACCACTACACTTTCTTCTACCCTTAGAGTTTACTGATCACAAATTCTAAACAAAATAAAAGACCAGAAAATTATCAAAAATCACATATAGAAAGGTTGTCAACCTATGCAACCAGAACTTGATTTGTGTGTATCAGAAAACCACTCAGTTAAGAGAGAAATGAACTTACCAGCTCAGAATCACAAACTGATCGGTTTAAACGAAAGCCCTTGACGCCTGAAAAACTTACACGGTGCCTGAGTGGTGATCGGAAGAAGAAAAAGTGAGAATTTCTTAGAGAGAAGATGAAGGAGGAGGAAATGGTTTCAGTAGTTTGGAGAAGAAGGAAAGCATGCAGAGAAGTGGCACGACATTTGAAATTTGGCATTAAATACTGCCGTCACTAAAACCGAACGACCACTCTCCTGTAGCCACCTGTTTTCCACTATCTGAAACTCTAACTCTCTCCTTGACACTTGGCTTCCACTACTTGGGATTTTTAGAGGATTTTTAATGGGTTCTGACAATTTTTTTTTATGTGTAGAACAATATTTTAAACTGATATTTGAATTTAAATTGTTTATACCATTTAACCTATTTTACTTCAAAATATTTAAAAATTATTTATCACAATTGAATAAAAAGACTATATCTATTAATTTTTAAAATTTAAACAAAAAATAATCAAAACTTAAAACATCATTCAATTATAATTTTATATCCAAATTTAAGAAATATAAACATATTCAATTCTAAAATTAATGATTCAATTTATTTATTTTACACATTTGACTATATACATACCTATATTTTTATATTTTACCTTGACGGTATTTAATGACCACCTTTCCATTTATAACTTTTTTCATTCATAAAATTTAAACTCAAAATTTTATTTAAAGAACCAAATCTAATATCACCGAGAAAAAAGTAGCTATGTAAAAATTACTTTATTTTAAAATGACAATAATGGCTAAGTTTAACTTATTTTTTTGTTGTTTGAGTAATGAACAAAAAAATAATAATTTCAATCAATCACCTCGAGAGATTATGTTTTTAATATTTATCAGAAAACATTTAAGTAAAGAATGACAATTAAAGCGTATTTATGCTTGTACGAAAACATGAAAAAAAAGAAGAGAAAAGTTAGCAGGTAATTCATCTGTACTCCATTAATTCAGCCTTTGATATAACCCAGAGAGATTATTTACCAAAATTAGAAAACATTTTCTCTTATATTTTAAAATACCTTTTAAATAAATTTCTATGTGATAATAATAATTACAAAAATTGTTGATTCTGATTGAATTGCATTTTCTAATTAAGAAAAAAGATGTCGATTTAAACATAACACAATTAAGTAGGTTAATATAAAGCAGAATAGAAATAAGATTTATTAGTTATAAAATTTAAAAGAGAGAATGAATATAAAACAAAGTGAATTGTAATATATTCAAAGAGTTAAAATAGGCAATAAAAGTGAAAATTAAAATAGAGTATTACGTTTATTATTACATAAATTAAAGACTTCAAAAAGGTTCATGGAATGTAATAAAAACTCAATGAGAGTTAAAAGAAGTATTATGTTAAAAACATTTCAATCACATTTTTCTTTAGAAACCAAAAAACTATACAGACATGTTAAATAATTCAAAATTTGAAAAAAAAAGAACATTAAATCTAAAATAGGTTAATACTTATGCCAAAAGATGGATCCACCATATTTTTGTGTTTCCCTGATTTTGGCTTTGGATGGTCTTTCTTCCATCTTGACAAAATTACACTCCTACTTGTTCTTGCACCCACCACCATAACCACATGACCAATGACCTATGACCATATCATAATTTTTTTTCCTTTGTTTTTGGGTTTTGGTATCCATGGACACCACCTATTCGATTGCCCCATCTATCTTTTTCCCTAAAAGCACAACCCGCTTCCTACATAAAGCTGGTTCCTTTCCTCATTCTCCCATTCCACACTTCACTCTATGCTCAACACTGTCACATGGGTTTTCCATCTCATTTCAAAATGCCCCACAGAGTTATTTTGTTCCCTTAGCCCCACCTACCCCTTTTGATGATGCTGCTTCTGTTCTAGCACAGCCGTTTTTGCATCAATGGCTCATAACTCACAGAACAGTAGCACCTGCTTTGATGATGATTTTGAATGTGATGGAACGGATGATTCTAGAATCTTGCATTGCTGGAACCACCGGAACCTTCACTCTGAATATGAAGATGGTGGTGGATCGGAGGAATTAGCATGTGCTGTGCCCCAGAGTGAGGAAACTGTGAGGGCTATGGTGGCGAGAGAGAGGGAGCATTTCCCGAGGGTTGATTACTTGCAGAGACTAAGGAGCGGGAAGTTGGCTTTGGGTGTTAGGAGGGATGCACTTGATTGGATTTGGAAGGTAATCGTTATGTTGATTTCTGGTTTTTGATGTTTCAAGTTTCCATTTTCATTCGACGAGCATCACAAATAAACCATTTAATTAGCTTTTTTTTTATTTGTTTATTGATTTGTGTGGATTCTTGCCTTGGTGGGTTGGTTGTTTTTAATGNGACGGACGTTCACTCAAGTATAAACGTCCGTCTCGGCCAGGGACGGACGTTCAAAGCCTGCACATGGATTTTCACTGTTCAGCCTAATGAACGTCCGTCACTTAGGACGGACGTTCACTCAAGTATACACGTCCGTCTCGGCCAGGGACGGACGTTCAAAGCCTGCACATGGATTTTCACTGTTCAGCCCAATAAACGTCCGTCACCTAGGACGGACGTTCACTCAAGTTTAAACGTCCGTCTCGGGCAAGGACGGACGTTCAAAGAGCTCATAGGTGTTTACTAGTTCAGCCTATTAAACGTCCGTCCCCCAGGACGGACGTCCATAACATTATAAACGTCCGTCGCGACCAAGGACGGACGTCCAAAGGGCTGACACGTGTTCACTTTGTTCAGCCTATAAACGTCCGTCTCCAAGGACGGACGTTCATAACATTATAGACGTCCGGCTAGCCCCAGGATGGACGTCTACAGTTCCACTTATTTACTAATATGCCACCGGTCAATTATATACGTTGGGGCTTTTGTGGACGGACGTCTATTGGGAGACGTTAAAACCCCTTTCTGCACTAGTGAGCTGTCACCCGAGGTTAATCCGTTCCGTCCAAGATTACCTTGTGGACTAGGATCTCCTGCCATTCTCACACATGACTTACCCCTCTCTACTTGAGAATGAGTAATCATAGAATATCAGGATAAACACCAGTTAAGCATAACCACATTCATACTTTACCATTCCAATACCAAATCATGAGATATTCCTCTCTGGAATACTCTTTTCATATCCATATTACTCAATTCATATCACATTCCATCATATTTCATTATCAAAACATCTAACCAAACCAATTGGAACAGAAACTCATGTGACATCGAACACTGAATCCATACTCTCAACCCAAGGACAAGACTGAACACTTGGGGTGAGACCGAGAGATCTTCAACTCATAAACAGATCAAAACCGAAAGAGTTATTATCAGAGTTATGAAAGAAACCGAAAGGAATAACGCTCTATAGTAAATAACAGAGCCGAACGCTATTTACTAGGTAAACCATTTCATTGAACTAACTCCTGAGAGTTCAAACCGAACGCCAGAAGCCTAGGCCGAGTACTAAGACTCTAGGCCGAATCTCATTTAGAGACCGTTACTGTTTGACACCAAATACTAACAACTGACGAGATACTATGAAGAAACCAAACACTATTTATACTTAGCTTTTGGCATGAGACTAACATTAAAGAGACCTAGTGCTAGTCTAAGACCGAACACTGTAGAAACCGAATGCTATTGAGTTTGGCCGAACGCTCTTCTTAAAAAAAATGGTAATGATAGATTACTGGGATACGACCGAGCACTTGATTTAAGACCAAGCATCACTTAGACCGAGTGCTAGGTTTATGACCGAGCACTACATAACTTATTCAATGAAAGAATATATTCTAATTATAATTAGATGAAACTTATTTTCAACAAGGATAAATATCATATTTAAGAATTTAGGTATTATTGAATATCTTAAAGAAGCTGTTTTAAGGAGTCCAAAAGAGATACTATACGTAGACCGAACACTTTATTTACAAGTATACTAAGATAAACCGATCGGTCATCGACTGATTCTTCCTAAAGAAAGAATCCGGTCCAGACCGAATGCTCAAAGGGAAACCGAACGGTCAATGATGACTTTCGGTTACAGTTTACATAATTATGCAGACTATTACAGAATCACTCTCAAACCTTATTCCTACCCATTTCATAGCTTTCATTAATCTTTAAATACTTTTAAACAACATACAATATTTCACCATCAACCAAATCATAAAACACAATATCATTCCAGTTTCTCATCTTTTATACTCATATACTCATACAGCCAATAATGCAGTAACAACCATACTTCATATTCATTAAATCAATCAAACAACATGAAATAATTAAAACAATAATCTTAATCAAATTATATAAGCTTCCCTTACCTCTTAAAGTGACCGAACGCTCAACAATGCAGGATACTGGTTTACCACTACACTTTCTTCTACCCTTAGAGTTTACTGATCACAAATTCTAGACAAAATAAAAGACCAGAAAATTATCAAAAATCACATATAGAAAGGTGATCAACCTATGCAACTAGAACTTGATTTGCATGTATCAGAAAACCACTCGACTGAGAGAGGAATGAACTTACCAGCTCAGAATCACAAACTGATCGGTTTAAACGAAAGCTCTTGACGCCTGAAAAACTTACATGGTGCCTGAATGATGATCGGAGGAAGAAAAAGTGAGAATTTCTTAGAGAGAAGATGGAGGAGATTTAGAGAGAAGGAGGAGGAAATGGTTTCAGTAGTTTGGAGAAGAAGGAAATCATGCAGAGAAGTGGCACGCCATTTGAAATTTGGCATTAAATACTGCCGTCACTAAAACCGAAGGACCACTCTCCTGCAGCCACCTGTTTTCCACTATCTGAAACTCTAACTCTCTCTTTGATACTTGACTTCCACTACTTGGGGTTTTTAGTGGACTTTTAATGGGTTCTGACAATTTTTTTTAACGTGTAGAACAATATTTTAAACTGATATTTGAATTTGAATTGTTTATACCATTTAACCTATTTTACTTCAAAATATTTAAAAATTATTTATCAAAATTGAATAAAAAGACTATATCTATTAATTTTTAAAATTTAAACAAAAAATAATCAAAACTTAAAACATCATTCAATTATAATTTTATATCCAAATTTAAGAAATATAAACATATTCAATCCTAAAATTAATGATTCAATTTATTTATTTTACACATTTGACTATATACATACCTATATTTTTATATTTTACCTTGACGGTATTTAATGACCACCTTTCCATTTATAACTTTTTTCATTCATAAAATTTAAACTCAAAATTTTATTTAAAGAACCAAATCTAATATCACCGAGAAAAAAAGTAGCTATGTAAAAATTACTTTATTTTAAAATGACAATAATGGCTAAGTTTAACTTATTTTTTTGTTGTTTGAGTAATGAACAAAAAAATAATAATTTCAATCAATCACCTCGAGAGATTATGTTTTTAATATTTATCAGAAAACATTTAAGTAAAGAATGACAATTAAAGCGTATTTATGCTTGTACGAAAACATGAAAAAAAAGAAGAGAAAAGTTAGCAGGTAATTCATCTGTACTCCATTAATTCAGCCTTTGATATAACCCAGAGAGATTATTTACCAAAATTAGAAAACATTTTCTCTTATATTTTAAAATACCTTTTAAATAAATTTCTATGTGATAATAATAATTACAAAAATTGTTGATTCTGATTGAATTGCATTTTCTAATTAAGAAAAAAGATGTCGATTTAAACATAACACAATTAAGTAGGTTAATATAAAGCAGAATAGAAATAAGATTTATTAGTTATAAAATTTAAAAGAGAGAATGAATATAAAACAAAGTGAATTGTAATATATTCAAAGAGTTAAAATAGGCAATAAAAGTGAAAATTAAAATAGAGTATTACGTTTATTATTACATAAATTAAAGACTTCAAAAAGGTTCATGGAATGTAATAAAAACTCAATGAGAGTTAAAAGAAGTATTATGTTAAAAACATTTCAATCACATTTTTCTTTAGAAACCAAAAAACTATACAGACATGTTAAATAATTCAAAATTTGAAAAAAAAAGAACATTAAATCTAAAATAGGTTAATACTTATGCCAAAAGATGGATCCACCATATTTTTGTGTTTCCCTGATTTTGGCTTTGGATGGTCTTTCTTCCATCTTGACAAAATTACACTCCTACTTGTTCTTGCACCCACCACCATAACCACATGACCAATGACCTATGACCATATCATAATTTTTTTTTCCTTTGTTTTTGGGTTTTGGTATCCATGGACACCACCTATTCGATTGCCCCATCTATCTTTTTCCCTAAAAGCACAACCCGCTTCCTACATAAAGCTGGTTCCTTTCCTCATTCTCCCATTCCACACTTCACTCTATGCTCAACACTGTCACATGGGTTTTCCATCTCATTTCAAAATGCCCCACAGAGTTATTTTGTTCCCTTAGCCCCACCTACCCCTTTTGATGATGCTGCTTCTGTTCTAGCACAGCCGTTTTTGCATCAATGGCTCATAACTCACAGAACAGTAGCACCTGCTTTGATGATGATTTTGAATGTGATGGAACGGATGATTCTAGAATCTTGCATTGCTGGAACCACCGGAACCTTCACTCTGAATATGAAGATGGTGGTGGATCGGAGGAATTAGCATGTGCTGTGCCCCAGAGTGAGGAAACTGTGAGGGCTATGGTGGCGAGAGAGAGGGAGCATTTCCCGAGGGTTGATTACTTGCAGAGACTAAGGAGCGGGAAGTTGGCTTTGGGTGTTAGGAGGGATGCACTTGATTGGATTTGGAAGGTAATCGTTATGTTGATTTCTGGTTTTTGATGTTTCAAGTTTCCATTTTCATTCGACGAGCATCACAAATAAACCATTTAATTAGCTTTTTTTTTATTTGTTTATTGATTTGTGTGGATTCTTGCCTTGGTGGGTTGGTTGTTTTTAATGGGATTTGAGTCGTATGAAAGAGTTGTTTTTGTCTGATTCTAATACCAGTTTTAATGCAATGTTGGCTTTCTCATCGAGTCTCAATTGACTTCTGAAAAAAAAAAAAAAAAAAAAAGAAAAGAAATGGTTAATGGTTTTGCCTTCAATTTTGATTTTCAAGTTGAGGAAGTAGCTAGGTGCGATCGCCAATTTTTTCTAAGTTGTTGAATCTCTTAAGTTGATGGTAGTTTTCCCTTTCCTTTTAGAAATGAATTCTGTTTCATACTGGTTGAAACCGTGTGATGAATGTGTCAAATCACAATCTTTTTTATTTAACTGGGTTAATTGTGTTAGTGACTGGATTTTTCTTTGTATAACGTGATCAACAGGCTCATGCTTATTTTGGCCTTGGACCCTTGAGTTTTTGTTTGGCTGTGAACTACTTGGATCGCTTCCTATCGGTTTTTGACTTACCGGTAAGGTCAAATTGCCTGAAAGTTCATGTTTGTGTTTTACTAGGTTTATTTTAATTACCTAATTGGTGTTTTTGGTCTCTTTTCTTGGTATGTTTAGAAAGGTGTAAGTTGGACTGTGCAATTGTTAGCTGTAGCGTGCTTGTCAATTGCAGCTAAAATGGACGAGATTAGAGTGCCTCAATCTGTAGATTTACAGGTATAGTAGAATCTTGCAATCTTGTCTTAAATATGATTTTGTTATGTATATTACCCTCTAATTTCCCCATCGATATTGATGATGAGCAGGTTGGGGAACCAAAGTTTGTGTTTGAAGCTAAAACCATTAAAAAAATGGAACTAATGGTCTTAAGCAAGTTGAGATGGAAAATGTATGCATTAACTCCTTATTCCTTCATAGAATACTTCCTTAGCAAGATCACTTGTGAGAAACACCCAACAAAATCATCCATTGCAATATCAGTGCAGCTCATCCTCCGTATAATCAGTGGTATTCTCATTACTCTTTGAATATTTGGTCCTTCTGTACTCTGTTTTCGTTGAGGTGTAGCGAGTTTGAAGAGTGCTTTTCGGGAAACAATTGTAGGTATCGACTTCTTGGAATTCCGGCCTTCTGAAATTGCTGCTGCGGTGGCAGTTTCTGTTTTAGGAGAATCACAAGCGAAAGATATGGATAAGTCCATTGCTGATCTCTTTATAGTAGAGAAGGTGAGGTTGTTGTTCCCAAATAGAGCATGTAGGGATGAGTTTACCTTCATCTTGTTGAATTGATAATAGTGAACGGTTGACTTGTGTTATGCAATTTCCTTTCATTTTGCAGGGTAGAGTTCTAAAGTGTGCTGAATTGATAAGAGATTTGTCCTTGAACAATGTTGCTGCTAGTGTAGGAAGCAAGGTGCAACATGTGCCTCAAAGTCCTATGGGGGTGATGGATGCTGCTGGGTGCTTAAGTTATAAGAGTGATGAATTAACAGTTGGATCATGTTTAAATTCTTCACATGATAGTCCAAACACTAAGAGTAGTAAAGCAGAAGGACCTTCTAATGAACCTCCAAGTGATGAAATGTGAATTTTCTTCCTTCACCAAAGTTCATTTTGTTTGGTTTGTCTTGGAATTCCTTGGAAACATTCTCAACGAGAGTGTGTTTCGGATTAATAAGATGTGAGTTTAAGTGGTTCCGTGGGTAGGAGGTGTTAACAGTTTTGGTTTATAGTCAGATTACTTGAACAGCTACAAAAACTTAGGATGTGGAGGCACAGCCACAACATGCCAAGTATGAATGTAATATGTGGAGGTGAGAGCTATAATTATTGTTCATGTGAAATGATCCTAACTTCTCATTTTGGAAGAGAATTGATACATAAAGTAATTTTTGTTGGGTTGTTTATGAATTTTGTAGGAAAAACAAATAAACATTGCAATTTAAGCAAAAGGAAATATCATATAGTGCCTGAAAACAATCCAATATTTAGAAAGAACTAAAATGTTTCTTAACAAGGTTGATTTGGGTGCTTGTAACATATATCCAAGAAGCAAGAATTAACGAGACGAACGTCAATGCTTTGTTGGGTTCGATTGAGACCAACATCTAGACATGAAACATAAAATTCTTCTGTGCTGAATGTCTATGAATAGTGATGGAAGGCCTACCCTTGCTAAAGCTTCTATGTTTTAGTCACTGACCAGTCAACATGCAAGTATATTGGGTTGGATAACTTCACGACCGACCAAACAACACTAAAGAAACAAAAAACCTCACATCTGTTTAGTGGGACAACAAGACTGACAAAACAACACGAAAAGGATATAAGGGCACTTCCCTAGATTGGGGAAAGTTAAACTAATTGAGAAAATTTAGTTACTTATGTTTTGTTGCTAATCTTAAAAGACGTCATTTCTTGCTAGTTAAAAGTTAACTCTTCACCAGCAATGTATTTTGTCCTTTACAATATTTTCCCCTCTTTCTGCAAATCTTTTTACTACTTTTCAGATAAAATAAATTAATATTTTTAAAATAAAATATAATCTCAATATAATTATATCAGTATCTTAAAGAAATCATTCATCTTCTAAAAAAAGTTGCAAATAAGAGGACAAACTGATTTTATTTTGCAATTACACTTAATCCTTTCAGTTTTATAATTCTCTGCAGAAGAAAAGTGGGAACACATGTAATCTCACAGTTGTTACAAAATTATTTATTGATATACATAAATTAATTAATTATTCTTTTATATTAATTTTAATATTGATTTCAAAGGCACATCTACAATGTATTAGCATAGCTGGTTCATGGTGATCCGTTTTTATTGATTATTGGTTTCATCTGATCTACAAGGTTGTAACCAACACTTAGATTTCTTCTCAACACTCAACTCTCTCGTCACCAGAAAGAATTTTTGAAAGTTTTATTTTTTCATTGGTGATTTGGCTATGATTAATTTATCATTGTTTTAAATTTAAAAATGATCAAAATAGGTATATGATTTTTATTGAGATCTTGATATTCGGCTCCAACGAGGACATCATCCCTGCACCATTTTATGCCAAAGGCTATGGGAATACTAAGATTGTAGATGAAATTCTAGAGCAAAAGAATGTACAAAAGATGAACCAATATAACTCACAGAGGAAAAACACAAGAAACTTATAACTAGCAAGATTGTAGATGAAAGTCATGAACAAAGACTGCCATAAGATTAACAATATAAATCACAGAAGAAAGAAACGAGAAAAACTATTACTTAGCAAGATTGACAAATGAAAATTCATAGAACAAAGAATGTCCAGAAGATTAACACTATAAATCACATAGGAAAGAAACCGAGAAACTATACAAAGGGAAGAGAACAAACCCTAAGCACAGTGGAGCGAGAGCAAAAAATAGGATTGGAAGAAGAAGAAGCATCCAGAGAGGCAGTGTTTTCTATCTGTTACAGAAAGTGTAAAAAAAGAGAATATAAAAGAGAAAAACAAAAAAGGAAAACGAGTGGCCCGAGCTACAAGGTGTAGGCCCAAGTACAAAGACTATAATCTTCCCTCAAGTTGGGAGAGATATTAGTCATTCCCAGCTTGGAATGAAGATACTTAAAAACAACAGGAGCAAGAGGTTTGGTGAAGGTTGAAATGGGGAGCAGCTTTAAAAGGCCATTGTTGAGCTTGTTCCTCACAATGTAGTCTATTCTATGTGTTTGGTGTGTTCATGGAAGACCCCTGATTGGAGGCAATATGGATAGCGGAGAGCCGATTGTCACAATAGACTATAGTAGGTTGAATGGTGAGTATACGAAGGTCATGAAGGATGTAAGTTAGCCATTGTAGTTCACATGTGATAGTGGCTAGAGCTCGATATTCAGCTTCTGAAGAGCTTCTAGAAATGGTCTGCTGCTTTGTGGATTTCCAAGAAATGATGAAATTGCCTAAGTAGATGGAATAACCAGTGATAGATTTTTTGGATTCATAACAAGTGGCCCATTCAAAATCACTATAGGCTTTGAGCTGATTGATGTTGTTGCTTTGAAGAAGGATTCCATTGCTAGGACTTCCCTTGAGATATCTAAGAATGTGGTGAGCATCTTGTTGATGTAGGGTGGTAGAAGAGGAAAAAAATTGGCTGAGATTGTTGACAGAGAAGGTTGATTGGTGTTGTAGGGTCTATATTGTTGGATATATTAGGCGGCCAATAGTCTTCGGTAGGATGATGCATCTTCATCATAAGGAGGTTGTCTTGACTAGTTAAACAAGAAGAATGTGGCCATAGGAGTGCAATGGAGCTTCCAACTTCTGTAAGGAGGGTCAGGTGTACTTGTGTTGGCTGAGGTGGTTCAAGAGTGTTCCGAAGAAACTTCCAAGCCAGAAAGTAGGTGAGATAGCCTAAGTTTGATGTGGAAAGGTTGTCCAGGAAAGTCATGATATGTTGTATCTCATAGTGTTGTTGTTCGCAACAACAATATCATCGCACGTAGATTAAGATGCAGTGGTTGTGGCAAGTATCATGTTTCAGGAAAAGGGAATGATCAACATTAGAATGTGTATAATTATTAGATAAAAGAAAAGTGGAAAGTTTTTCATACCATTGTCGTCCAGCCTGCTTGAGCTCATATAAAGATCTTTGAAGTTTGCATACTTGATTTAGGTTGTGATGGGTGAAGCCAGGAGGAAGTTGCAAATAAACTTCTTCAGTAAGTCACCATGAAGAAAGGCATTGTTGACATCAAGTTGTTTTAGAATTCATTGGTTAGAGGCAACAATGGTGAGGAGAAGACGTAGAGTAGATAATTTGGCAACATGGGCAAAAGTCTCAAGGTAGTCTAATCCTTTAAGTTGGGTGTAACCCTTAGCTACAAGGCAAGCTTTAAAAAGGTCAATAGATCCATTAGACTTGTGTTTGATTTTGTATATCCAACGACATCCAATAGCAGTTTTTTCGGCAGGAAAAAGGCAGTGATGGTCCAGGTGTATTGTTTTAAGGCGTTGAGTTCATCCTAACATAGCCTTGAGTCCACTAAGGTATTTGAGAAGCTTCCTTGTAGGTGTGAGGTTCAATGAGAGATGAAATAAATAGGATGGTGTGCTTGAAATAAGAGGATATCATGTCAT